TTTCAAAGTGTAGATGCGAACAAAATTGAAGGAGTGGCTATTTTATTAAACCCAACAGTGGCTGGGTTGACACACCCATGCTAATATAACTATGGACCAATCGCGTCATTGCTGTGGACCTTGGTGCCTTACGATTGGTAAATGCATACGCATCGAACGGCCACGCGTCCCGGAAGAGTTTCTTTACGCACTTGCAGCAATGGTTCTGGAAGCAGACGGAATCCGTGATTGCCAGAAATTTTTATTGTGTGCAAAGCCCGGCTCTCGACAGGCTTGGAGGGACAAGTTCGGGGCGACCAGAGAGCGCTGCGGTACAAACCCTACACTACCAGATTAATATGGAGGACGCGTTAGCTCTCTTGGCTAGTGTAGAGGATGACGACAAGAAACTGGAATCGACTAAAAATTTTACGCATTGAAGCAGGGACTCGGGCAGTCGCGTCGACCGTTTTTACGTCCCAAATTCCTGGTCTATCGTTGTACCAAGGGGTTTCAGTTGAGGAACCGCAAGTCGGGTCAAATTTTTATCGTGTGCGGTTACACCTTCAACATTTTAGCACTGTATGGATCTCGCGACGGAAACAGCATCTGGTTATTTACCCTATTGAGAAAGCTCAGCCCAGTCGGGTCATCGAGGATTTATTATATGATCTTACTGCAGCATAGGTGGGTCATCAGTAAATAGACAGACGTGGGACCGAACAGTTTAGCAGTGCGTAAAGTGTATTCAGCGCGTCTGGACCCGAGAGAAGCCTTCGTCGGAAATCGGTCGGTCGCCGAATTCAAGCGTAGAGTAGAGCCCACATTTTGACTCGAGGAAGGCTATCAGCGGTCAATGTGGCCAAGGCTTTGTGGGTCAAACCATATCGAGGATACGTCAGCTCGATGGAGCTGATTTCAGACGCGAAATAATGATTGCAGACAAATTCTCGTCGGATTGGCAGCCAATTTTGGGCGTTATTCTTAATTTAGCGTCGTCCGCGCATCTCGGGACCGAAGTTGACGCATTTGTCGGACACCAGACGTTTAGAGGGCACTTAAAACGAGCAAATATTGCGCGTTATTTCTTTATACGAGGTTTTATTAGCGATATCGGCACTTAACCGGCACAAGGCTGCCGGATCGGATGGCCTCAACAATGATGTCTCAACGACACCCAGACAGTCATGGTACCAGCCGTAGTGGCTCTTGGCAACGAGCTACTCCGGGGAGGCAAGCCTCCTCCATTATTTTTTGAAATTTTAATTATTTCACTGCGCAAGCGCAGCGACTCGGATGATGCGACGGACTACCGGCACATCGCTCTCCTGCAGACTAGTTACGAGATATTCAATGAAGGTATTGCTACCAGAATGCAAAACGTCTTAGGGACATTGATCGGAGCCTCACAACAGGGATTCGTCCATAGTCGACGGATGAAAAAGACCGTGATGATGATGATGGAAGTATTGTCGTCGTCAAATACCGTCCAGAATGTACGGCCATGATGAGCCGGGTAGTCCTATTGTTGGGATAAACCGGCTCATTACGGTCGCCCGTGCTTTCTTTGCTTGGCGCTCCAGCGCTTTGGTTTTTCAACCGAGTTTGTCACCATGATAAAGAATATTCACTACGGTACATCTGCCCAATTTGTGGTGAATGGAGAATTATCCAAGCCGCGCGCGGTGATTTCGGGCATTAGGCAAGGGTGCCCGCTTGCTCCGCTACTTTTTCTTGTTGCGGCGGAAGTCCTTGCTTTGGCTGTTCAACAGGATGCCGGGATCAGGGGGCTACGTGTCCTGGTAGGAGCCGTCGAGAGACACAAATTCTCAGCGTTTGTTGACGCCTCAAGGGTATATCTACAGGAAGCGCAGGACATTCCTCGGGTGCTGCTTATCGTCAAGGGTTTCGGGTGGTTTTTTTCTGGCTTGAAGGTGTAACCAGACAAAAGTAAATTGATTTTTAACACGACTGTACAATGCGAGAAAAAATCAGCGTACCGGTACTCCTACCAGAGGCCACGACCGGATACTTAAGTTACGTAGTGGGGACGAGAGATCTGACTGATGTTAATTAGGCTGCCCGTATTTGCAATGTCAAACGACACCTAGCATTGGCGACCCAGCTCGCAGCAACCAGCGTTGAACACCGTATATTTCTGCATACCGTCATTATTTTGCCGTTGGTGTCATACTGCAGCGGTGTTCGAACCCCCACCATGGGCCGGACAACAGCTCATAAATAAACAGAAGCGATTAGCATGGAGACACTCCACAAGTGTGGAGGCTTCTCGCCACAATATGAATCCCGCGCTGTAACATACACCGCTACAAGCGGGCGGGGTGGGATTATTATCCATTATGGTAGCTTGCAAGACGCAAAGGGTCAAGCACGCCATCCAATGGCTCTCTCAACGCAAGGACATCTATCTTTCTGCTTGAAGGACATGAGCTTCTAAGACGGAAGGCTAGATGATTCAGCAGGGCTGTCACACATCACCAGATGGCCCCGACGACGGCTCACATCTGGTCTACAAACGCCAGGAGATACGCTATTAAATTTATTCAGTCCCTATATGGCCCCTTCGTCAATAATCCCGGAGGCCAGATGACATGAGTTCACTGAGGCATACAGGAGCATGACAGATACCGCTTTCAGCTGGTCCAACCCAGAGAAATGAGTGTTTAAACTCGAGCAGCCGATCTCAACCAACGCATTCTTGATGACTTCTAAGGAAGAAGCTTTTTGGCCTACATACGCTCGGAAGGATAACCTATAGATCATAGATCAACACGGAATACCGCTAACATCCCAGCAGTACGACAATATTCAGCCTTTCTCGATTGCTGACCTGCAAATACAGCGGATCGGGGCTCAGACATACTCCTTTGTCATTCCAATGACAGAATCTACCATGCATCAACAAGCTAAGCTACGTCGTTGGGGTCTGACAATTTACTGGCCGCACCGAACTTTGATATTGGCACAACGCTACAAGCTTGACGCAAGCAACTACTGTAGCACCCTCCGGTGCTCAAACAAATTTACGTTTGGCACACGCTTCAGTTACGTAGTCGAACACGGCACTTTCAAAAAACAGCTGATTTGAGACGTAATGTCGACATCGGGGGTAACTCTGAATACACCAACATTCATTGCCAGATACACCTACATGATTTATAGGCTATCCATTCAACTGTGATTTAGCATCGTAATCAACTTTTAGAGAAGAGTAAATTGCAAAACCAGCACCATTCAAATGCAAACATTGCAAAACCTGCACCAGTTGCATAACAAGTACCACCTCCTGACGGAATTAATGAGAGCAACTCTTATTATTTTGATTCGACCGATTCACATGATTCTCCACGCGCCAAGAATAAAAATAGGGATTTCCTTTTTTTATCCCTCACATTTTTATTTTCCATCCCCGAACCTTTGAAGAGCCAATTATTGCTGTTCTTGCAGAATCCAAGCAAACGCTACACGTAGTTGCATTCTTGTCGACTGTGCCATGGTGCAGTCAACAGCACTGTAATGGGGCAACCCATTATATTAAGTAGTCATAGTTTTATTACATAATTACATACATTAAGTGTAGGCAGTATCCGGATAGCGGATACTGCGCGTCTATTTATTATTGGTTTATTATTGGGGTGCCAGACCCAATAATTAGCCAATAATAATTAGTTCTGTATTTGAGTGGTTCCCATGAGCTAGGGAACATATTCGCACTTACTGCGAATTATAAAAACACAAAAATACAAACAGAGTTAAATTTACCTTATAAATCACAGCGCTTCCTCAGCTTAATTATTAGTGTAAGACGGTAACGGGCTCTCAACCCGTTACACCTGGTAGCACTTTGTAGTCCTTCCCATGACCAAGTTCGAGATGGATATGAGTGAATCTTCGATGGCTCCAGCAGTTTCGCTGGAGCATGCAGATTTTCCCCATCTCACTACGGTAGAATGGCAGGCATTACACCGCCTCGCGGCGGTGTCTGGTGAAATCTTCGTGACGTCGCTGCTGAGCACAGCGGCGCCCGAACAACACCGTGCCGCCATTCAAGACTACATGGTGCGCGAGCTCGCCGAAGCGAACCGGCGAGTACATACTCCCTCGCGCCCCTCCCATTACGATGCAATTAAAATGGAGACGTCGACATACTCTGGTGATGGTCCAGATCGTCTCCCCCTTAATCGCTGGTTTAGGGAGATTGACATCGCCATAGCGTCAAGGTTGATTGACGCTCCGACGGCCAAGGTTAATTTCCTACTGTCTCGGCTTGTTGGTAAAGCCAAAGAATGGGCTCTTGGGAAGCTCGTTGTAAACGAGTTGGCATTCCCCACGCTGGACGATATCCAGCGCGAATTACGACTGGCGTTCGAGCCCCCTCAAGATGAGTCACGCTTGCGCGCAGATTTCTTTTCACTTCGACAGGGCAAGCTGTCGATGCGTGATTACGTACAGAAGACGCGACATCTTGCTTCGTGTATCATCACGCAGCCGATCGACATGGCTTCGCAAGTTCATATCTTTGTCTTTGGTATGCAAGAGGGCATGACCCGCTATTGCCTCACACGTGCTGAACCTAAGACTCTTGAGGAGGCATTTGCCCTCGCGCTTCGTGAAGATTACACGGTCGCATCGTCATATTTGCAGGCAGCGTCGCAACGCCCGCGTACGTCTGGCCCAGAGCCTATGGAAATTGACGTTATCGATGCATCTCGTGGTCGCGGCAAGCAATTTGGCCGCGACATTCGAAGTCAAAACACGATGAAGTGTTATCGGTGCGGCAAGACTGGCCATCGTGCGGCCGTCTGCCGAGCACCAGCGCCGGTGTCCATGAACACAGCTGTCTCACGTGGAGATACTGTGTCGTCAGTGGTCCCGCCAAAAAACGAGCGGTTCCAGTAGGTGCGGGGCGCCCTACTGGCAGTAATGGAGCCCCGAGTACTCAGGTGGCAGCTCGGCCTCCTAGCCCTAAAGTGATACATACCCACTTCAATGCCACCACTATGCGCAACGATTCGAGACTGATAATTATCAGTCTCATCGTTGCTGGAGTTAAACGACCACTTCGAGCGTTGTTGGATTCGGGTGCATCCAACAACTTCTTTCGAGCATCATGTTTGTCCCTTCTCCCGTCGACAGTTACGGTTCGAGAAGGTCCAGGTGACATCGTTGTCAAACTTGCTGATGGACAACCACAGCGTGTCCCGCGTAAAACAGTGGTTTTGCCGTACACGTTCGACGGCTTCCAAAGTAATGACGAATTTTTGGTGTACGAGATGAATTATGCATTCGATTGCATCTTGGGGATACCGTGGCTGTCACGGTATCAGCCGACGATAGACTGGCTATCTCGGTCCGTCAAACGACGAAGCGGTTACGACGTAAGTGAAGTTTTCACTCATCTGTTGGTAGCGCCATCCGATTGGCCTCACGTCAGGGTCGTGAACGAACTCGCCACGACTAGAAGTCAGCACAGAGATAGCGATGGCCCTCTGTGTCCGGTATGTTCAGTCACACTGATAGAACCACAACACGAGGCGGTCGAACAGAGGTTCCCGCAAACACAGACATCGGTCGAGCAGGGGCTCCCGATTCACAACGAGACGGTCGAACAGAGGTTCCCGCACACACAGACATCGGTCGAGCAGGGGCTCCCGATTCACAACGAGACGGTCGAACAGGGGTTCCCGCACACACGGACATCGGTCGAGCAGGGGCTCCCGATTCACAACGAGGCGGTCGAACAGGGGTTCCCGCACACACGGACTTCGGTCGAGCAGGGGTTCCCGAGCTCTAGCGAGGCGGTCGAGCAGGGGCTCCCGCATACACACACAACGGCCGAGCAGAGGCTCCCGATTGTAACCGAGGTGGTCGAGCAGAGGCTCCCACATACATCTGAGGCGGTCGACGACGAGCTCCCGCCTCTTATCGACGAGAATGAACGGGCTGTGGACTTAAATGTGAACGACGTGGTGGAGACAGAGCTCCCACGTCTAGCGGGGGTACTTCATCCTCCAGCGACAGCGACGTTCCAGCCTCGAGCAGTGGCTCAAGACGCAAGAGAAAGCGTAAACGCAAGAAAGGTGCACGCCGATCACCAAGACGACGAAATTCTCGCTCAAGCGCCGTTGACGATGATACTGTATTGACGGAATCCGTTTGTGCGCTTGAATATGTGGAAGGGTCTTCACATCGTGGCCGCTACGTTGAGGTAGCGAGCCCTCCGTGCACTGTTGCAGAGATCACATCTCTATTAACCCTACCATGGAAAGATTTCCTTCACGACCTCAAGGCCGGCGACATCGAGCAAGTGTGCATCATATCAGCCGCCGAAGCAGCTAGTGGAGAAGTTCTGGAGGCTCGCCCAAAGAGCGCTGAGCCCAAATCAGCGCGCGAAGAACGTTTCGTGGCACAGTCTTGGGAAGCCCTTCGTGCTTCGGGCAACCCTGTCTATGATATCGCGCGTGAGTATGCCGACATCTTTCCGGAGAATATCCCCGCTGAGCTTCCAGCGGATCGTGGTGTGCGACACGAGATCGATCTCGTGCCAGGATCGAAGTATTGCGTGACGCGGCAGTGGCCGCTACCGCGTGACCAAATCATCGCAATTGATGAATTTTTTTAGGGCCGCCGTAAGGCAGGACACGTCCGCGAAAGCATATCGCCACATTCGAGTCCGACTTTCTGTGTGAAGAAAGCCACCGGCGGTTGGCGCATCGTGCATGCTTTTAACAAGTTGAATGCCGCCACGATCCCGGCTCAAACACCAATTCCTCGGAAAGACATGGTACTGGATACCATGTCCGGCAGCGAGATTTTTAGCGCCATAGACCTGACAGACGGGTTTTACCAGATTTTAATGAGGGACAGTGATATCCCGTTCACCGCTGTCAGCACACCGAGTGGGATGCTTTGGGAGTGGCTAGTCATGCCACAAGGCCTTAAGAACGCTCCAGCAACGTTCAACCGGATGGTGACACAAGTGCTTCGGCCACTACGTGATTTCGCTCCAAGTTATTTCGACGATATTTTTGTTCACAGCCGCGCTGAGCAACAACTCAGCGCTACGGAGGTCCACCTTCGGCATTTGAAACAGGTGTTCCAAGTGATGCGCGAGAACAAACTGTACGCAAATTTGAAGAAGTGTGTCTTCTGTGCTCCCGAGATTCCAGTTCTTGGATGCTATGTTAGCAAGGAGGGTGTCCGTGCTGATCCCGAGAAAGTGTCATCGATATGTTCCTGGCCTACGCCCAGGAACCAAACGGAACTACGCCAATGGCTTGGCTTGGCCAATTACTTGCATAAGTATACGAAGAACTATGCAGAACTAATCCAGCCACTATCAACTCTACTGAAGAAAGACGCAGTTTGGTCATGGAAAGCTGAACATCACTCTGCCTTCAACTCTGTGAAAATGAGCTTGTCTGAAGCACCAGTGCTGATGTTGCCTGCTGATTCCAAGCCATTTCACGTCGTCTGTGATGCGAGTGATTTCGCTATTGGATGTGCCCTCATGCAGTTTGACGATGAGGGCCGAGAGCGCGTCGTGAGCTTTCAGTCACGACAGATGAAACCCGCAGAGAGGAACTATCCGGTACATGACAAGGAACTTTTGGCTATGCGTTACGCGCTGATCAAGTTCAGAGTATATTTGCTCGGCGAGAAGATGTTTTCGGTCTATACAGATCACGCATCATTGCGTACCGCCGTCAAGACTCCCCACTTGTCCCAGCGTATGGCACGTTGGTTGTCATACTTCTCAGAGTATAATTTCGTGGTCTTTTACAAACCCGGCAAGAACAACATTCTTGCTGACGCGCTTTCTCGACGTCCCGATTATGATCCTCGACGTGACATGGGTCATCAGCCAGGCATTGCTGAAGACGAGGACGACGACATTTGTTTATGCTGTGCTGAGCAGGGGCTCAATGCAATGATTTCGACATCTGAGCTGTCAATCCGGACTCAAATCGCTGAGTCATATGCGAACGATTCATTCTACACGGGAATCATCAATTATCTTCGACACCCTAGTGAGGGTTCACTCGCGAAGTTGACGAAACCAACGCGTGACAACATCAAGCGGTACGCGCTTGATGGTCCGCTGCTGACTTACACAATGGACGTTTTCGACCCACCGCGCGTCGTCATCCCTGCTGATGACGACCTCCGCGCACGATTGGTGCATGAATTTCATGACACTCCAACTGGTGGTCATTTGGGTCGCGAGAAGACGTTCGCGGCCATCTCTCGTGTGTTTTTCTGGCCGCGTATGTACAAATACATCCAGAAATGGGTACGCTCTTGTGAAATATGCCAGCGTGTGAAGCCTGCGCCGTCTTCACAAGCTCCATTGCGTCCGCTTCCGATTGCCACGGAAGCCTGGCGTTCGGTCAGCATGGATTTCATCTTTGGTCTCCCTCCGGACGAACAGAAACGCACGGGCGTATTGGTTTTTGTGGATCGATTTAGCAAAATGGTGCATTTTGCTCCAGTCTCCGCGCACGTTACGGCGGAGACGACCGCGCAGATCTTCATCGATCTCATATTTCGACATCACGGCTTGCCTGAATCAATTGTTTCGGACCGCGACCCGCGCTTTACATCAGCTTTTTGGGCAACGTTGTTTCAACTATTGGGCACGCGACTGTTTATGTCTACGGCAGCCCATCCAGAGACGGATGGGCAAACGGAGCGCGTGAACAGAGTGCTTGAAGATGTACTACGCAGTTATGCGACATCGTTCCAGTCGTGGAGTTCGTTTCTCCCTCTTGCTGAATTTGCAATCAACAACGCAATTCATGCGTCGACTGTGTTAACGCCATTTTTCGTGAATAACGCGAGGCACCCTCGCGTTCCAGCGCTTCTTGCTCTTTCAGCTTCAGCACACCCAGTTTCTCAGCTTGGTGGGGGAGTATCTCCCGATGACACTACGCGAAAAATTTTGATGATTGGTAATGTTGAAGATAAGGTTGCTGCCGATGCAACTCATACTGTTAATTTCGTGGCCAATGGCATATCGAGTCCCGACGCGATGCATCCCATCGCGTCTCCCGTCGCTAATTTTGCTCCTAAAGAGTCCACTTCTCCTGTAAGTTCGGCTGCTGTGACCGAATTCCTATTACTACGGCAAAGTATCACGCGTTTTGTACGCGATGCACTCCAAGAAGCAGTGGATAAAAAAAAGGAGAACGCGGACAAGCGAGGTCGAAAGAACTTGCTGACGTTCAAAGAAGGTGACAGAGTCTTACTATCGACAAGCGGATTACCAGACACGTCAGTAACGAATTTGGGCGCTAATAAATTAGCGCCAAGATATATTGGGCCCTTTCGGATTGTTGAAGTCCATGGAGATGCTTACACGCTAGACATACCTACCACTATGCGTTTGCACCCGACATTCTATGTCGGGCGCCTTAAGGCTTACCTGCCGGCGGATCTCCCTTTGGTCCTTCCTCACTCGTCTGTATCGGCTCAAAGTCCGACACCCCCTGCCGACGACGCTGACGACGACTGGGACCAAGTCCTAGACGAGCGCGAGCAGACTCGTTCTGCTGGGATCCACCGAACGCAGCAGTCTCGAGCTGTCGCAGACGCTCCACCAAGCCCTGCTGCTCCCGTCGGGTTCTCTCGGCATCCTCTGTCGCAGCTGCTGCACGATCTCGAGCCCTCTCGGCCATCTCACGGGCATCCAGAAGGCCGTTCATCGCCTCTTCAGTGTCAGCACGAAGGAAACGAAGCTCGTCACACGACGGCACAGGCGCCCGATTATGAGAATCGGCGCCCAACCCAAAAAGCCTTCCGTCGTGATGCTCCTCCTCCCTTGGTAGATGCATCGGGTGAGCGACGCTGGATTGTGGACCGTATCGTCGGTCATGAAGACCCCACGCCTCTTGCGCCGAGTAGTGGCTCGGCGCCATCGAAGAGTCGTTCAGAAACGCATTACAAGGTCCGATGGTTGGGTTATTCACCAGCGGAAGACACGTGGGAGCCTCGAAGTATGCTGGCTCACGATGTTCCTGACGTCGTTGAGGAGTACGAGACCAGTAAGAGGTCGGCGAACGCGACCGACGCTGCTGACTCCTTCCACGATCCCGCGAACCGTAACGTGCGTGAATTGGCGATCGACGACGATCTCCCGAGCGACTCCGACGTCTTCTACGAGGCTCGGGAGCATTTGGATACCTTAACGGTCGAGAGCGACTACGAGAACGACCTCGGTGGTCGTAAGACAAACGATCTCGACTACGTGAACGCCTCCATCGATCGACAGGGCGTTCCCTCATGTGACGCAACGCAGATACTTGGAGCTCTGAGAGGCTCCTCTCATAGCGTCCGATCCATGGTCGGATGTGCTGGGGCATTCTCCGTGCACACACCATGTCGTCCCATTCCTGCCGCATTGGTCGCGGTCTCTCCATGTGACACCGTGGACACCCTTCACGGACATGGACGTAACACATGTGGAACCCATCACGAGTCAAATGACATACGCGTCGTCGTAAGTCGCCAATAGCGTGGTCGCCATGAGTACTTTCGCGTCCCTCGATCCAGGACGTGAAGGATGCCCCTTCACGTCGACTCGCGTTCCAACGTCTGATGAAGGCACACCAAGATCGTTGCAGTGCGTCTTCAGTGTATGTGTGATTCGTTCCCTTGCCTCGAACGTTACGGTATCGTGTGAAGAGATTCTTCATGGACTCAAGTGATTCAGGTTGGTGCGCGCCTTCAAGGCTGTACAAGCCCCACGGCTTCAAGTCGTCATCCATGGTCTGCGGTGCACGCTCTCTTCGAAGTGTCTGATGACCCCAACTGTCGTTTGGGGTCGAGTCGCGTGGGTGTTCAGGATTCATGCTGCTCAGTTGTTTGTGGCTGAGCAGATTCGAAGACCAAGATGACGTGTCGTTGGAGTTCTCGTTGGGCTTTTCGTTGGACTATTCGTTAAGAAGAAACTTTCTGTGTATGGCGCTTACGTCACGGTAAGCGCAACTTAAAGAGGGGGGTGATGTAATGGGGCAACCCATTATATTAAGTAGTCATAGTTTTATTACATAATTACATACATTAAGTGTAGGCAGTATCCGGATAGCGGATACTGCGCGTCTGTTTATTATTGGTTTATTATTGGGGTGCCAGACCCAATAATTAG